TGTCAACTGCATATTATATGTTCTGGTGAGGACTACATGCTGGGTCAAAACATGGTGGAGAAGCACAGAAGTGAGTGGGCATGTGCACTCTATATAATAGATGCATATATACATATCATATACGATACAATATAAAATTAATGAATTAATTGAAAGTTAGTACAATGTTAATTACAAAATATACTTCTCTGGGATCTTGTTGCCCTTTGCATTTCTCTTTAGCTGCAGTTTGTGTAGTACTTCTGAGATTCCCTATGTTACTATAGCATTCCTCAGGGGAGGTGGGTACATTTTATAAGTTCATATTTCATGAAACTTTCTTATTTCCAATGGTATCAGCAATTTTAATGTGCACCAAAAAGAAAATGCAGAATCCTTAATTCTTTGAAAGATAATGACCCTCTCCTATCTTTGAAGGTTTCATGTCATTGACCAGAAGTGTGTCTGTCCTAAATATTATTCCCTTTTAAAACTCTTATCTTAAAGATAAAAGTTTACTCAACAACTTTTAATGAACAGTTGTTCCATGCCCAGCATTATACCAAACACTGGAGATATAAACAGGTATACTAAATTGTCTCTTTTCTTAAAGAAGTCTAGTGAGAAAGGCAGATTTATAAGTAAACAACTACTGAACAATGATGGCTGTAAGGACAGAGTGTTATGGGAGCATAACAAAGGAATATATAATTCACTTTCATTCATAGGGGAACGAGGTCACGGAAGATGTCCAGAATAAAGCTGCATGTTTATTGAGGTGAGGAAAATTAGAGTCTGGAGGGATGGTTCATCTGAAATGAAAGGAAAAAAGGAAGAGAAGGACACAAGGGTGAGTATAGAGGGTATGCTGGGAGGAGGAGACAAGTTCAAAAAAATCACTCGAGCGCAAGCAGGAAGAAGGGTGTTGCTAGAGTTGAAGCTGAGGAGGTGAACAAAGGCCTTGCACATCAGGAGGATTGTGCAGTTCATCTTGGAAGCTGGTCACTTCAATACAATTCCATCACATTCTAATTGCCTATCGTGGAGAATGGAATGAAGGGGAGAAGACAGAAACAGAAAGGCTATTTGTAAAGCTGTTGCAATCGATTAAAAAAAAGAGTGCTAAAAGCTGGAACCAAAATATACATCGGATTTGGTGATTCACTCTACAGAGACTAAAAGGGAGATGGAGAGACATGATAATACCCAGATTTAAGGCTTGTCTAGTCTTGCTTTGTTCTAACACAGCATGGCTACTTAGTAAGAGTTTAAAATAATCTAAATCAGAGAATTGAACAGACTTGTGTTTTGCAAGAGGTCATTTGGAAATTAAAATAAGCTGTAAATAATGAAGACAAGCAGGTCTGCCAGAAGGCTATTGCAAACATCCACTGATGAGAGAAAGAAATAAAGTAGAAAATTCAAAGTAGAATGAAAAGTGTCCATAGACTTGAAAGATATTTACAAGTGTTACACCAGATCCTACAATGACCTAGAGGAAGACAACATATCCTCCTTCAAAATAATCCAGAAGGAGTTATGTCGTCAAGTCATCAAGAAAGACAAATATTTTATTTGGTCTTTTTTTCCCCTGGCACCTATCTAAAATTGACAGTCATTGACAGTCTTTTCCTTTGTTCTCTCTTTATACTTAAAGATTTATGTACTGTCATATATCATCTAGATAGAACTTTAATTTCAATACTGGAAAGAGAAAGGGATCTGTGTACCAGAGTGGTGTCCTGGAAAGGACAGAATGTTTTGTTCCTATGAAGGAAACAGTCTGGGATATCACTTATCAATGGAGTGTCATCTGAGGACTCATTTATAATCTAAAGGGGTACGATATAAGACTGACCTCTGTTAAAGTCAATCAAGAAGGCCACAGTGCATAATGGAAAGGGCATGGTGTATTAGCACAGCTGCCATAAAAAGGATCACAGACTGGGTTATACAACAGAAATTTATTTTCTCACACTTGTGGAGGTTAAATTTCCAAAATTCAGGTGCCAGAAAATTTAGTTTCTAGTGAAGGCTCTCTTGCTGGCTTGTAGATTGCTGCCTTTTTGCTATGTCCTCACATGACTTTTCCTTGTGCACATGTAGAGAGAGATCTCTGGTGTCTCTTCCTTTCCTTGTAAGGACATCAGTCCTGTTAGATTAAGGCCTTGCTCCTTATACCCTTATTTAGCCTTACTTACTTCCCTATTGGCCCTGTCTCCAAATACAGTCATGCTGGGGGTAAGGGTTTTAACCTATGTATTTTGAGGGAATTCAGTACCGTCCCTAATACAATACATCTGACTGAAATACAAGTGCGAGTTTTGTCATATGCTTTTCTCAGTTTCAAGCACATATTAAGTTTCATAAATGTCAACCTTTTTCTATTATCACTAACATTATTTTAGTCATTTATTTTATTTTTATAAAAACACTGAAGTCTTGCTATGTTACCCAGACTTGTCTTGAACTCCTATCTTCAAGCAATCCTCTTTCCTTAACCTCCAAAAGTCCTGGGATTATAGGTGTGAGCTGGTGACAGCACTGTCCACTATTATTATCATAATATGAAGAGTGAGGTTGGTGTTTAAACGTATAGAAAAGGGTAAAGAGAAGACAAGTTATAAGGAAGGACAAGAGCCAGATTCTTGCCAGTCCCTGAGTTGGTCTACACCAAGGAAACCACAGCCCCACAGGCCAGATCCAACCCACCACCTACTTTTGTAAATAAAGTTTTATTGGAACACAGCTGTGGGAACTTATTTGCATAATGTAAATTTATTTTCATTTGTTTACACAGCAGCAGTATTGCATAGTTGCAAAAGAGTTATACATTCCACAAACTTAAAATATTTATTATCTGACTCTTTACAGAAAAAGTTTGCAAATCCATAGTCCACAAAAGTGCTCTCCTTAGGAATTTCTGAAGGCTGTAATACATAGCAAGTCTTCAGGAGGGCTTCTTGAGTGAGAAAAAAGGTTAGATAAGGAGTTTGAAAGGAATCGATGTCTGAAAACTCTTACTCTGAAATGGAACCTAAAGTATTATAGAGAAATGCATGATTCTGTGGCCAGCTAGGGGCGATACAAACATTTTTGCTTTCTTTAGTCTCCCCTCATAATTATTTGCCACTTCCTTGTTTCAAATTTTAGGTCAGGTTTTTAAGCCCCAGTGAGATGGGACTGGTTTTAACTTACCTGCTATTCATCAGGAGATCTTAAGATCACAGGTCAGTTTACTATTTAGTTGTTGCCATTTTGACACAGGGGATGTTTTATATACACTCTTAGTTTGTATATCCAAAAAGAAATTCGTGTTCAGCTTTTAAATCCTAAGTAGTGTGTTCAACACACTCACACTGTTAACCCTGGTCCTTGAGCCTTCCTCCATTCTCAACTTTCCTTTCCTTGGCCTTATCCTATTCCTGACTCTGTTTCTCCCCTTCCCCCAGACCTTCACCCCTCAGGTCACTGGGCCTCTCCCCAACCCTGTCTCATTCCATTTTAGGATACTTACCACATCCTCCACCCCGCTCTATCCCTGAACCACTTTCTTTCTCTGTACTGAGGATGATGATCCAGGGTGGGATAAAAAAGTCTTTGAGCATATTACTTAATTGTAATAATAATAAGTGTAAAAAAGGTTTTTGCTTAGCTCTCAGTAAAAAGTTCACAATGACATAACCAAGCACCTTCCTCTCAAAAAAGCACATGTCTTGATCATGAAAAGAGTTTTTGGATTTTCTAGAAAAGAACAGGAAGGAGATGCAATCTTATATGTCAGCTTCTCTAAACGCATTCTATACCCTGGAATTGACAAAGAAAATAATTCAACAGAGTTTTCTCATTGTTTTACTGAAATGACCTCATATTTTTCATGCTTGAAAAATAATTTACTAGTCTTTTTTCTTTGCTAATGATAATATAGAAAGAACACCACATAAGATTGGTTTATTTTCACTCAGTTACAGAGGACAATGATCACACAATCCTACTCTAATTGCTTAGTGGAGACTTAAAAAAAGAGAGAGAGAGGAAAAAATACAAAATTAACTCTCACATCCAAGTAGGTATATTACACTGGCACAGTTCTTCTGTAGCTGGGAATGCCAAGGATCATGACAAATTCTCCATATAGTTTCTCCCTCTGGAGTGTATTCACACCACCCTAGAATCTTGGAATGAACAAATTGACTAGGTAGACTAAGTAATGACAAGAGTTCCAGCATGAAGGTAGGAGCTTACCAGTCGAGTCATCCCACCCTTTCTAGTGCTTGGGCTCCTCCTTAGATTTTCCATGATAGAGTTGCACTGCCTCATATGGCAACCTACCTCTATCCACATGTAGCTACTGAGCATTTGAAATGTGGCTAGTCCATACTGAGATGTGCTATACGTGTACAATAATACCAAAGATTTGGTAAATAAAAACAAGTATATTGATTACATCAATTATTTTGACATATTGGTCTATATAAAATATATTATTAAGGTTAACATTACCCATTTTTTTGTAGCTACTAGAACATTTTAAATTGTATATGTGCTCACATTATATTTCTGTGGGTGAGTGCCTCTCTAGAGACTTGCACATACTGGTAACTCATTTCCTTGGGATTGTGGGTGCAAGGCCCTGATACAGGAATTGTCAAGCAGGAACGTGACTGGACAAGGAAAATTACTGGTTTGTATCTTTGGATGGAGCCTACATAACTGAGAAACAGTTATGCCATTTGGGTAAATTTTGAAGCTAGATAAGGGAGCTGGTATGTGATGAGTAGTTAAGATGAGGCTGGTTCATAGCTGATTTAGCTTTATACCGCTGTTGGCTGCTTGGGATGCCATATCTTCCTACCTCTCTTCTAGATGTTCCTTCTCAACTATGACAGTAACTTAAATATGAAAAAAGTGACCAGTGTCTGTTCATCAGTGGGGTTATTAGCAAGACATAAGGGTAGAGTTTATTCAGTTTCTTTAAAAACAGATTCCTATTATCGAGGCAGTGACAAAGAAATCCCAGGAAGAGTGTTCTGCTGCATTTACTTTTATTAAACAGGCAGTTGGACAGACAGCATTGTGATTAGGACATTTTCAGAGTATAGACTGGGTAGAAATATCTCTGTACCCTCAGATCACAGAGTCTAGGAGGAAAGAGATGGAAAAGACTAAAAGTCAGTGCGTCCATTCCCAACAGCTCTGTATTGTTTTCTACCATAGATAGGATAAGCTCTGAAGAGTTCTTGTATATACAGATGGCAAAGATAGGTGATTCAGAATTGGGATTTATGTTTTCCCTTATGGCTTTCATCAGTCCTCCCATCACTCGTCCTAAAAGAGAAAATGGGTAGGTTAGATGCTGGAACTCAGAGATACTGTAGAAACGTGAACTGTACATTCATAGTTGTGTCTTAGTCAAAGAAATCCATAAATTCCTGCATTCTGCCAAGAACTAACAATTTAAAATTACTTTTTTATCCAAATTTATTTAACGAGTATTATCTGAGGACCTGGTAAGCTATGGCTTTGTTGCATCCTTGAAAATCTTTGTCATGAAATTGAGAACAGTTACTTATTTATTTCACAAAATAGTATTAGTATTTTCCTTACAGTAGGAATTTCCTCCCAATATAGCAAATCATCTTTTACTTGAGATAATGCCTTATCTAGAGTTCTTGGCTTTCAGAATCTAAGGAATGATGGCAGAGTATTAGAAATGAAGTCAGAAGATCTACAATGAATCCAAGATATTGAATGAGTAATTTTAATAAATGACAGAGTTTCCACCAGGGTTTTTTCTATAAAATGGGGCTGATGATGATCCTTGTCCCAATCAAAGGACTGTTGTGAGGATACAAAAGGAAAATGCACATAAAACTCTAAAGAGCTACATAAATCTTAGTAGTTACCATGTAATAGTCATGGCATACTAGAAAGTCCTACATACTTAGATAGTAAGCAAAGAGAGTCCCAGGATCCCCAGCCTACTTTTCCAGGAAAGTTGTGACTGCCTTTTATTCCATTCTTGGGATTCCAAACTCTCTTAGAGAGTATCCCACCGAGGAATAAAGTCCAGGCAATAAGTTCCAACCCCCAGTATATACATCATAATAGTCATCAGAATAGTGCTGGGCCAACCTGTACCCACTGAAACAAACAGAGGGAACTGAAATTGCACCCATGCCCAGGACACCTTTTGTTAGGATACTTTGTTTCGTTAACCAACACCATACATAAGTCCTGTCATTTTTAATGCCTGTTATGCAACTCTAGTGGAAAGCAAACACCCAGAAATGAAAGGGAGGAACTCTCTTGCAAAACTTTGTGAGTTGAGCCTTGGCAAGATTCTTCCTTATTTGAAGACATACATCTTATGAATATAACCCTGTGGCAAGTTCCTCATAAAGTAGTTTTCGTCAAATTGCTTACATAGGATGAGAGTTACAGAGAGGTGTGGTCTAAGGTGTGATCTATTGGACTTACATAAAATTATTTGACCTCCCTGTTCTGAGACATATGAAACTAGGTGTGCTTGTGAGGAGGGGGAAAAGTATATATTGTCAATAAAATGGAGAGCAAACCACTAAGAATTTATATATTTAAGATAGCAAACATAATATGGGGGCTAGTGTAGAGTTTAAACTCTTTTTATGGATTCTGAAAAATCCTAGAATAAGTAAAGGACTTTGTCAAACCCACATGAGGAAGGAAGGTCTTTTGATTTCAATCCAGTCCCTGGTTGACTCTATCCAGCTGCTGCTGTGAAACCAGAAACACTCTAGCCTACAGTTTTTGTTTTCTCAGTTTCTCATATCAAGGATTGTTCAGTAGTTCTTTTGAATACGACCTCATCTAGTGTTGCTTGACTGAGATCCCCAAATCTGGCCAAATAGTTTCCAATTACATTATTGCCAAAGCATTAAATAGCAGTGAAATGGAGTAATCGCAGTATAACTAATACAAAACAATTTTATTAAGTTTAATGTGTCAAAATGTTATTTATTAAATATAAATATAAATACAATTTTATTAAAATATAATTGCTTGAAAATAATTTATCAAGTATAAATAAGCACTGTGTCAGGATCTGTTTTTCTTTTTTTTTTTGAGTCAGAGTCTCACTCTGTCACCCAGGCTGGAGTGCATGGCACGCTCATGGTCACCACAGCCTCGACCTGCTGGGCTCAGGTGATCCTTCTGCTTCAGACTTCCAAGTAGCTGGAACCACAGGTGTGCACCACCACACCTGGCTGATTTTTAAAATTTATTGTAGAGATGAGCTCTCGCCATGTTGCCCAGGTTGGTCTTAAACCTCTGAACCCAGGCAATCCTCTCGCTTCTGCCTCCCAAAGTACTGGGATTACAGGCGTGAGTCACTGCACCTGGCTATTTTTCTAACTTCATACTTTAGACTCTTCTCTTTCTCTAAACTCATACTTTGATCTTAGGCACATTATTAGTTATAATAATGATAAAAGATGTCATTGATTTTCAGACACTATGGAAAATGTATAAAAGTCAGAGTTTATTGAATATTACCATAGATCATTGAGATCTTTGGCTTAAGGTATTTATATGATTGGCCTCAGGTCTCAATAATAAAGAACATCGGTCAGGCACCAAGGCTTATGCCGATAATCCTTGCACTTTTGGAGGCTGAGGAGGGAGGCTTGCTTGAGCCCAGGAGTTTGAAACCAGCCTGGGCAATATAATGAAACTTCGTCTCTACACAAATAAAAAAATTAGCTGAGTGTGGTGGCATGTGCCTGTAGTCCCAGTTACTCAGGAGGCTGACACAGGAGGATCACCTGAAGCCCAGGAGGTCGAGGCTGTGGTAAGGCATGCCACTACACTCCAGCCTGGGGGATAGAGCAAGACCCCAGCCCCACAAAAATGAAAAATAAAATAAAAAAATAAAGAATATGAAAAGCTGGAATATGAACCCATATTCACCTTTAATAAAGCATTTTCTCTTATTTGAAAGTCCTTGCTATTTCATGTACATACCATCTTGTCTAAGGAAGAGACTACCAGAGAGAATGTCCAACTCAGTACTCTATGCTGAAATATCCTTGTAGGGGTTTAAATAACATAGGTCAACTTTCAATGTTGGGAAACAACTGAATGCAATGTAGAGTGCAAGAGTACATCGGCCTCACACAGAAATGGCTTAAATCCAGCTCTGCCACTATCTGACCTCTCTTGGTCTCTGTCTCATCTTTTTATTGTCAATCACAGAGAATTAAATTTACCCTGAAATAAGTAATGTTACATTAGAGACATTGCTCATAAACAATCTATTAATGAGCCCAGTAAACAGTTTAAAATGTTAACTGCTATATTATTTCACATATTGCAGTAATTACTTATCTTCACAGTGAAAATGTGACCGATTCTGGAGTCACCTGACCTAGTGTCCCTTCTCTGGCCGGAGAAATGTCCAACACCCAGTGTGAGAGAACAAAAGGGAGAGCCCCTGCTCCTACCTCTGACCATGGAGCTGGTGTACTCACAGATGCGGCCATGCTGTCAGGGGTTGCTCCTGGGACGTGGCCCTCCTCACACCTGCCTAGACTATGGATGTGTGTATTAGTCTGACGGATCCTAAAACAGATCAGAGCAAGCTTCAACAACAGGAAAACAACAGGAAAATCTGCAGTTCTAACAAGGACCCATGTGGGTGACATTTGAGCATCAAACCAAACTATAGTCAGAGGGAAGACATGGGCTCTGCATTCAGCCATCTCCATTTTCCAGTTCGTGTCATCCAGGCTCGTCCCTCTTTTCTGCTCCGGATTTGCCCCAACCCTGGATGAGTTTCATCACCTTTCACTCACTACATACTCGCAGAATTGTTGAATGTTGACAACAAACTTGAAGCTCAAAAGACACTCTTTTATAGAAGGGAAATTGGATCCCAGAGAGCAGTTGGACTATATGGAGTTATCTATAATGTGACTTGGAAAGCATAAAATATAACAAGATATAATTATTAGGTAGTCTGATTTTATAGCTGAAAAGAATCTAAAGGAGTATGAATTTTAATGCCTCTCATTAAGAAATATTATGAATCAAACATCCACTTGTTTGCCTCTGGTGATGGAAAACTCATTATTTATCAAGTTAGTGCAATTTGTCTTTGGACGCTGCTTAAGTTGAAATTGCTCTCTTATAAATTTTTCTGTAACCACAGAAACTAATATTAGTCTCTCTTGCCTGGGAATCTTTTTGTTGTTGTTGTTGAAAGCAGGATTTATTGAGAAGACAGAAAAGCTCCCAGAGCAGGAGGGACCTGAGAGGGTTGCCCTGTTTTTCTTATAATATATACTCCCCTAGCCAAGCAAGCCATCTAGGGACATGCTTTCTTAATATTTTCATTATTAGAGTTTCTTGCTCTAAAGTTCCCTTGAATAGAAGATCACTAGTTATGAGTATATACAGTTGATGGCAATTCTGAAGAAAATTTTATGTATAATTTAGGCCCTGGCATTTACAATAAGAGGTATTGAAGAATTTCTGGGCTGAAGATAAGGTGCAACTTAATTCCCAGACAGTTGCATTCATTGCTTAAACAAGGATTTTTTTTTTTTTTTTGAGTTGGAGTCTCACTCTGTCGCCCAGACTGGAGTGCAGTGGCCGCTCCCGGCCACCACAGCCTCGACCTGCTGGGCTCCGGCGATCCTTCCACCTCAGCCTTCCAAGTAGCTGGAACTACAGGTGTGCGCTACCACGCCTGGCTAATTTTTGATTTATTGTAGAGATGAGGTCTTGCCAAGTTGCCCAGGCGGGTCTCGAACCCGTGGGCTCAGGCAATCCACTCACCTTGGCCTCCCAAAACGCTGGGATTACAGGCTGAGCTACCGAGCCCGGCCAACAAGGATTTCTTAATTCTTAAAATTCTATAAGGCCTATGAATGAATTTCAAGTAGTCTATGGGCCCATGGATATTATGTATACACACTGTTTATGTCACACTTTTTTAAACATTTTCTTGAAAGAGGTAACTTTCTTCATATTATCAAAGGACTCTTTGATCCCCCAAAATTTAAGGAACAACTCCCTCGGATATAACAGTAGTATTGTGGGGAAAAAAGAAAACTATATTTAAACTCAAATCAACAAAGTTAAAATTCTGTCTGATCTACTCTCTAGCTTTGTGACTAAACAAATCACCTGGACTCTCTGAACCTTGGATTCACTCTCTGTATGCCAAAGATAATACCACTCCAAGCAGGCTGCGGGGATTCAATAAGTGAATATGAATTGCTTTGCCTACCACACTTTATTCACATATGCAAGATCATATAAAACTCTCATATTCCAATTTCATGCTTTCGAGCATATGACCCAGGGGATGACTTTTTCTTTAATGAGTTATTTCATTCAAAAGAAAATAATTATAAATTTAAATATTTTTCCTGGATTAAAAAGCAGGATATCAAAAGTCCTATCCTTAAGTCCTGGGCCTTCCTTACATGCCCTTAGAAGAATAAAATAGTACCTGGACTGCAATGTGAGTCTGGGGTAGAGTAGGGTAGAAAAACTAAGACTTGGCTGGGTGCAGTGGCTCGGCCTATAATCCCAGCACTTTGGGAGGCTGAGGTGAGAGAACTGCCTGAACCCGGGGGTTTGAGACCAACCCCGGCAACTTGGTGAGACTTCGTCTCCACAATAAATCAAAAAATTATCCAGGCATGGTGGCACACACCTATAGTTCCAGCTACTTGGAAGGCTGAGGCGGAAGGATCGCCTAAGCCCAGCAGGTCAAGGCTGCGGTGGCCGTGAGTGTGCCATTGCATTCCAACCTGGGCGACAAGAGTGAGACACCAACTCAAAAAAAAAAAAAAAGAGACAAACTAAGACTTGATACCATGCTTTCATTGAAAGTTGGTCATATGGAGGCCAGAAGGTATAGAGTGTGTGTAGAGGCAAGGAGGAATTATTACCAAGATCAGATTGTATTTGAGCAGAAAAGCAACAACAAAGCTAAGACCAATAATAATAAAATGGCATCCTTGTAGTTAATCTAAAAATAAAAATATTTGTGTCTAGTTGTTCTCTCTAGAACCTGTGAAGTCAGGTGCTCAGAGTACTACCTCCATTTCTCCAGTAAAGAAAGTGAGACTCAGAGTGATGGGATGATATACCACAGATACACAAAAAACAGTCATAAATCTGAGGGCAGACATCAGAGCTACCATTTATTTTCGTGTGTTTTCTTTTGTATAGCGCCACTTTCCTTTTGCAGGGTGTTACTGCCTTCAATAGGAAGGCTTAGAGAAAACGGGAAACCAGTGATTCTTGTAATCGTTGGTCCTTGTAGACATGATGAGCCGAGCTGGCTCCGTAAAGCAGGATTCTCACCTGTGTTTCTTGGCTACATGTGGGCTGGATGAGGCCCGCATTTCTAGTGGTATGTATAGGCTCATAAAGACGTCCTGCGATTGACCCTATCACTTTTTCATTCTCCCTACTCAGTAAAGTATATAACGCTGTGGGCAAGCAATTTTACTAAAGGGATCAATCTTTTCTTTTTTATATATAAGACAGCTAATCCACACATTTTGAATTTTTACCTTCTATGATTAATAAATTACTTGTAACACACTCAAATTGGTATCAGTGGGCTACTGTGAGCTGAAACTACAGCTAAGAACCTCTATACTGAAAGATATGATGCCTCCCCATATACTTACAGGTTTTCATGACACAGCATGCAGGGATTATTATATGTCTGGCCATCATCTCCACAGACAGGCTGTAAATCCTTTGGGCAAAGATAACCGATCCTGGGCAATACTCGATAGTTTTTGCATATTTCAGAATCCTGTGCAAGAAAAACACAAAGCAGACTTCCTCAAAGGCATTCAAGGAGGGGAATGGGCTTGGGAAAGCCTCTTGGTTTCCTTGATCCAATTTGAATAAAAATGTGAGGAAACAGTGACACAGGTCATAAAAATTCATATATGTATTTATCTCACACCATATTAGGAGAATTCAACCTCCTGGCTTTTGTAATTTTTTAACCAGAGGAGATAAATAAACAGATAAACTAGGGCAGACAAAGCAATAAGAAGGCAAAAACTCTATATATTAATAATATGGGACACAATAAGTTGCAGTGTGTACATAGGAAAAAAACTAGGATGATAATCATGCTAGAAGTAATATTCTTTTTTAAAATGAAGGTATTAGGTATATACAGCCTACAAAGGGAAGACTCAGAGATAAATACTAATTACCTGCAAGAGTTTTGAGTCCTAGCTTTGCTACTAATTAGAGAAGTGACTTATCTAACATTTCTGAGCCTCAATTTTCTCATCTGAAAAATCATGAATAATAGTAGCTCTTATCTTTTATTAATACTTTAGAGGATTAAATTAGATAATGCATTAAAATGCATACTTAACACAGTGTCTATGACATACTAAGCGCTCAGTAAACATTAGTTGTCAGTATTTTTTCCATGGTATATGCTTTTTTCCAAGTCAAAAAAAATTGTTCTTTGTAGTCTTTTTGAAAGTATGAGTTTAATAGTTAATGACAATAATAATAACAGCAACAACAACTTGATTAATCAGAAAACAAAGGCAAAAAAGTAGGACTACAAGATGAACAACAAATCCAAAAGTAAATAGAATGGTGGAAGACCATGATACCATTGGATATCAGTAATCCCATGAAATATTAATGTGTGTACTCCAGTTAAAAGACTAGAAGAACAAAAAGAACCAACTATGTAATATTAACAAGAAATATACTTTAAATATAAGGAAACAGACAGAGTGAAAGTAAAAGAATTAGCTCTAAATAACTCATGACTTAAAGTAATCACAGAATTTAGAAATGTTTTGAAATAAATGACAATGAAAATATATCCTATTAAATCCCTGCAGCTGATGCAATGATTTGAGGGAAAGTTGTAGCTTAAACACATACATTAGAAAAAAAGAAAGTTGTAAAATTGGTAGATGATCTAAACTTCTATCTCAAGAGCTAGCAAACGATGAACAAATTAAGGAAACAGAAAAAAGAAACTATGAAATAGAAATAGAGAAATTGAGCCGGGCTCGGTGGCTCAGCCTGTAATCCCGCGCCTTTGGGAGGCTGAGGTGAGTGGATTGCCTGAGCCCGTGGGTTCGAGACCCGCCTGGGCAGCGAGACCTCATCTCTACAATAAATCAAAAAATCAGCTGGGCGTGGTAGTGCATGCCTGTAATTCCAGCTCCTTGGAAGGCTGAGGCGGAAGGATCGCCGGAGCCCAGCAGGTCGAGGCTGCGGTGGCTGGGAGCGGCCACTGCACTCCAGTCTGGGTGACAGAGTGAGACTCCAACTCAAAAAAAAAAAAAAAAAAAAAGAAATAGAGAAATTGATGAAACAGAAAACAACAAAGCCAAAAGTTAGCTGTTTGAAAAAATTAATTGATAAACTGTTTGCAAAATTGGCTAAAAAGGCAAGAATACAAAAGTTATCAATATTAGCGATTAAAAGGGCATCATTATATGAATTATAGCTATTAAAAGGATAATGTATAAATGTTATGAATGACTATATGTTAGTAAATTTGACAATGTAGATGAAATTAACAAATTCCTTAAAAACACTTTCTAAAATATAGACAAAGAAGAAATAGGAAGCTTAAGAGTATTATATTTGTTATTATTCATTTCAGAGAAATCAAGTAGTATTTGTTTGTTATTTTGTTTTGATAAATAATTCAAACATCTAAATGGACTGCTTTTGATTGTGGTGAGTTCCATATTGATATCAATACTTAGGGAGAATTTAGACAAGTAATTTCTATGAATTCCTGGCAGAGGTAGAACTGAACAAGGTATATTAATCATATTTTTCAGGTAACTGCTGATACAGTATTCAAAAGGCACTAAGACAAAGTATTACAAAGAAGAAGCACACAGAGGCAACAAAGACAGAATGCTTCTCTTTTTTTTCTTACATGGAGTAGTACATCAGCACAACTCAGCAAATTCTGTTGATTCCACATTCGAACTAGACCCAGTATCCAAGCATCTCCCAAGAGCTCCACCACCACCTCCATGGTACAAACTAGCATCATCTCTGCCATGATTATGGTGATAGCTAACTAGCTATCCAGCTTTTGTCCTTGCTGTCCCACAGTGTATTTTCAATATTCAGCAGGCAGAGTTATTCTTTTAAACCACACATCAGATCATATCACTCTTCTTCCCAAAACCTTCATTTGGAATAACAGCCAATGTCTTTAAAGCTGTCTAAACAGTCCTTTATAACATGGTCCCCTACTACCTTCCTGACTAGTTCCTCTACAGTTCTCTCTGAAGTTATTCTGTTTCAAGTACACTGGACTCTTGGCTGTTATGCTTTCTTCCTGGAATGTGCTCTCTTCAGATATACCTACAGAATCAGTCCTCTTGACTGGTGCAAACTTCATCTTGCTGTAAATGTCACCTTTTGAGAACGTTCTTCCCTGTTTATATTACTTAAAATTGCATGCCCTCCACTCTCCATCTCAGCATTTTCCTGGTTTATTTCCTTCTTGGCATTACATTTTATTTATTTTTCATATCTATTGTTCCTATTATTCTAATATAATATGAACTCCATGAGTGGAGAGTTTTGTCTGTTTTGTTTATGGCTATTGATCTAGCACACAAAAAGAAAGCCTGGAAAAATAGTAGATGCTCAACAAATATTTGTAGAATGACAAATACACTGTCTGATTGATGAAAAAATTAATGATGAATATGACTCTCTTCTCCAAAAGTAATCTTGGCTCCTAACCAGACTGTGGATTGAGAGGAAACACAGGGTTTTTCTGGTTCTGCTGGTGATATCTTATTTCTTGACCTAGGTGCAGGTATCACAGGTATAACCATCTTGTGCTGGGATATGTGTGCTTCTTCTATGTGACTATTATACTTAAGTAAAATGATTTTTGAAAGAACAGATTTTGTGAATAACTCTGTGCTTCGGGATCCCTGAAGTAGAGATTATTTACTAGAAATATGTGATTAATGCATATTTCACATATTCAGTTCCTTTATTACCCTAGTTGTATCGAGTAAATAAGTAGATAAAATTCATACTTGATACCTTTCTTTCTTCTCTTCTGGGTCATCAGCCTAGGTGCTAAACTCTTCTTTTTACAGCCCAATCTGAGAGCATTTCATGAATATACCTTACATTCTCATATTCCCTTTCCTCCTTTCTACTCCTCATCTTGCTGAAGTTCTAAAAAAAAATCCTCTTATTCTAATGTACATATTAGTAATGTAATACTGCATTGCTGGTGACCATCAGCCTGTTTTAAATAAGAATGTGTAGCTCAGCACTGCTGAGTGGTTGGATTCACAAGTGTGGGTCTGCTCAGTCAAGCACTCCAGGCTGCTGGGAAAAGCCTGGGTGTGGAGGGAGACGAGCAGAAGCTGGGAGATGAGCCTTCTTGTTCTGCTGAAATTATAGAGTGGAGTTGCCTGCCTGCTGGACCACATGTGAGATTAGGCACACTTAGTCCACACCCACTTTTTAAAATTTCAAACTGAACTAAATTGAAGCAGGGCTCATAATCTCAAGGAGCACAGAATAATGCACTGATGAGAAATCCCAGAACTCTCACCACGTATAAACTGCATTAAGTCCTCAAAGGATTGAACTAGCCCACCTCAGAAGCTTCTATGGAAATAGGGTTATGGAGGGCAAGCGGTAACAGATCTAAAAAAAAAATCAGGCAAATTAAGTTTCTAAAAACCTTCTGAGAAATAGCCATCTTTACCAGAGAGTTGGCAGACTCTGGGTTGTCTTCCTCTTCAGAAGCTCTGATGTGGGATAGGTTTTCTTGAAGTCTTACCCTTTCTGAAGCTTCTTTTTGGCTAGAGAAAATAATAATAATAATAATAATTCAGAATAATATTCACAAAGGCTCTGCTCCAGGATAGTTTCCAGTGGAAAGTTAAGCAAGCCTCATAAAATATGATAGCACCATAGAAATTCAATCAAGAGAGTAAACAGGACGCTACATTAAGAAAAGTACACAAGTAGGAACAGGTTTACAACTTTTATCACTTAACAGATGACAAGTGTCTAATGAGTTTTGATTTCCTAGAATCTAAAAGAGAGTAGTATGGGTAATTCCTACTTCAAAGAACATTCACTGTGAAAAACTAAATACATTCAACTATTATTGTGTTTACAGTGTTTTTTACAACCATCATCATCACCCATCATGCCCATTGGTCCCCAGATCTGAGTGTTTGCTAAAATAGCCTAGAAAAAAAAAAATTCTAGAGCCCTGGAAATTCCAACTGAATATATTTGGGGTGTGAGAAATCTGTATTTTATTTTCAAAAGACATCTCAATTGAGCCTGACCTAGTTGTGAAATAAAGATCTCAAACAATGTTTTCTGACCATGATGCTGAAAACTGCGAAAAGTTTTCATAAAAGAGATAGTAATGTGGTTAGAACTTACGTCTGATTTGCCTGTCTCCAAGTCCAAATGTTTTTCTATTATATCAGATGTTCTCAACTTAAGGGCCTTGATTCCAAGGACTTATTTTAACGATCCCATGGGATTCATGAGCAAACATATTTATGCAATCAGCAGTTTCTAAATATGCAGTTCTGTGGGCTGAAGGGGGGACAGAATCCTCTTACTCACAAGACGGCTCTGCACTTGTGGCACTTGTTTTTATAGAATCTTCCATCAGCACCACGCACTGGGTCATTCTCTCGAGTGCAGATGAGTTCGTTGTTCTTCAGATACTTTAGAAATTCACTGCACTCATCCTAGAACACGAGAGAGAGGAAGTGAACATGGCTTTTCTCTTTTCTGCTTGGCGATTTTCTCAAACTTGGTGTTAGGAAGCCCTTCTCTTAGCTCTGGGCTCAGGCTCACTGCACTTATCCTGGCAACAGAGCCCAAGAAGCGCCCAGGTTGTCTAAACTTTGCATCCTCGGCTTCATTTCGAACCTCTCTGCACTGGTCCTGAAAACACAGGGAAACATAAATACCACTTGATAGATTCCTTTTCTCCTTCCTTCTGTCCATCCTTCCTTTCCCCCATTTTTCACGTGAGGTGTGCTCTTGACCAAAAACAACCTCAAATGATCTAACTCTACAAAAGTGATTGTTACAGTTAAATAACTGAGAAAAGACGTCGTCTTTGTTGTCTTGAAAGGCAAACAGAAAAGAGAGCACCATGTATGATTTGCTGATGTGGAGAAAATCACCTGAAGAAAACAGAAAAAAGACACAAGGAGAGAAGCTAAAGGGGGGCTTGAAATTAGTATCATGGCCTGCATTATTAAAACCAAGGTCACCAAGCCACTTGAAACCTCATTTCATATTTACAGTGTGAGAGATAAGCGTGCCATTGAGGTGGTAGAGAATTTTACCCTCTATTTTCCAATCCATTTTTCTCCCCAAGAGGAAAAACTAAAGCAATAATTGACACTCACGCCAAGGGAATTCTCTGCAAAATCAAGAAAAGCATCAAACCCCAAAGTCAGTGGAAAACAATCTTATTGTGACTCAAAATGATAATATTGGCAAAATCAATTTTCTTTAAAGTGAAAGATTAGTATGCTTATTATCCAAACTGAAGGAGAATGAAAGATTCTGTAAGGAAAAGTAAAAGAGTTGTTTTGGTATTCTTTAGAAATAACCTTTGCATTGTCTGAGGGCTTGGAACTTGATTTTTCTGCATCATTCTTTTTTCTTTCATTAGCTTCCCGCTCACTGCAGAATGAAAAAGTATGGGGTAATTTTTCTAGGATTGTTACTGAATTCTCTTTAACCAAGTATTTCTCCAATTCTAAACATTTACAAATCTAACACTATTTTCTCATATCTAAATATCTAAAAATACTAGTTTTAACTGAACAGTTCTGACAATTGGAATTTTCATAATAATATATTTGTGGCAATCCTATAAACTTTCATAGATTCAGTTACTAGACTCTTATCCAGAATCACAGTATCCCAAAGACCATTATCTTTTTCCTTAACAGAATATATTTATGGCTGTCATCTAGAGAGCTGCTTCATTTCTTGTTTTTATTTTTCTAATTACATCATAACTAAACTCTCATTTTTTATTGTTCTTCACATAACTAAAGTGCTTTGAAGTTTATAAATATTTTTAAAAATATTATCTCCTTGAATCCCACAAAATAAATGTTGTGCAGTTACTATTCTCTTTTTATATAGGAGAAACAGAGGCTCTGAAAAGTGAACTGGCCTGTCCTAAGTTTCCTCTTTAAAAAGGAATGGCTTTGTTTCTACACAGTAACTGTCTTTTCCTACCCCAGGGGCTCCAGATATGAACATGCGCCTCATCATTAACAGTTTTAAAAAATTGCAAAAGTGTTCTGGAAACCAACTATTCTCTTCAAAAGTTAGGAGCTACTATATTGTTGATATGTAAGTGCTTTAGGTTTTCTGGCAAACAGGCAGAATGATCAAGAGGCCAATAAACCTCTTTACGTACAAAATGCTTTGACACATGGCACACTTGTTGACATGCATCTTGCCATATGGGCCTCGAACAGGGTCGTTTTCTCTGGTGCAGATAAGCTTCCCCTCTCTCTCCTGGCTCCGAAATTCATGACACTGATCCTGCCAAAAGGAGCAAAAAAAAGGTGTTACTATGATAAAAAAAATTATCAGATATGAACTCAAATACTTAAGGAAAAAACAGAGAAGATGAATTTTCAGAAGTGGACTGTGTTTTAAAAGCATTTTATTCAATCTCTACCTAAGACGCTTGAATGCTCTCCATAGCGTCTCTCTCAAATGATTGTCTTTGTCCCAATGGAATTTTGTTACTGACTAAGGGAGACTATCACTTAAAAAAAAATTATAAAGTTGGGATCTTGCTCTGTCACCCAGGCTAGAGTGCAGTTATGATCATAGCTCACTGCAGCCTCAGACTCCTGGGCTTAAGCTATCTTCCCACCTCAGTTTTCCAAGCAGTTGGGACTATGGGCATGCACCATCACACCCGGTTACTTTTTAAAATTTTTTGTAAGCTGGGTTCGGTAGCTCAGCCTGTAATCCCAGTACTTTGGGAGGCTGAGGCAAGTGGATTGCCTGAGCCTGCGGGTTTGAGACCGGCCCTGGCAACTTGGCAAGACCTCGTCTCTACAATAAATAAAAAACGAGCTGGGCAAGTTAGCGCGTGCCTGCAGTCCCAGCTCCTTAGAAGACTGAGGTGGAAGGATCGCCAGAGCCCAGCAGGTTGAGGCTGCGGTGGCCGGGACCATGCCACTGCACTCCAGTCTGGGCGACAGAGTGAGAATCCAACTCAAAAAATAAATAAATATGTAAATTTTTTTGTAGAAATGAGGTCTTGCTATGCTGCCCAGTCTGGTTTTAAACATCTAGGCTCAAGTAATCCTCCCACTTCAGCCTCCCAAAGTGCTGGGATTACAGGTGTGAGTAAAAATGTCCAGCCCATCCCATTTTTATACAGTTTTCTCTGAGGCTGAGTCTTAAACTGTCTCCTTGCAACAGTACTAATTACTCCACACATTGAAAGTCTAACTAAAAAACCCTGGAATTAAATAAAAGACAGTCTTCAGCAAGACATATAAACAGTTAAACTTTTCAGCTTTGTTTTCCAATAACAATTTAAAACAACAACAATAGCAAAACGCTTTTTATTATGCCAGGCACTTCATTGTGTGCTCTAATGGATTTCCTTTAGTGATCACAAAAATCCTATAAGGTAAACATTCATTATCATTATTTTACAGATGAGAAAAATAAGACTCAGAGGTATGAAATACTTAAAGTCAATGTTGAATTTGTGAGCAGAAACCTGCTAACAGCCAGGCTATACTTTTTACTTCTTTGTTTTTATATAACAGAGGTTTACTTCTATTTATTCTAAGAAAATAGAGCTGTCTTTTTTGTTCATTGAAACATGAAATCCTTAAAATAAGCCAATAGAATTGAATCTACAGACAGGGTCTGGCCTCTTTAAATCTTTGGAGTTGCCTGAACTGCTGTGAAGCCCAAAAAGCCAAAGTGGAGATATAGGAATGTCACCTTAAAAAATACCACTTGTGGCCTAGATTGTATTTGACCCTTCCTTCCTTCCTTCCTTCCTTCCTTCCTTCCTTCTTTCCTTCCTTCCTTCCTTCCTTTTCTTGGCAAAAGGTCAATATGCATTTTATTTACTCCTAATTTAAAAAAAATTTTAGAATCAGAAGGTACATGTGAAGATTTGCCACACAGGTATATTGTGTGATAATGAGATCTGGGTGTGGGATGTTCACAAACAATTCCAAGCCTACTTTTATCTGCAGCATTTTAGAAATTCTCTGGAATTGAAGACCTGATCAATAGATTACATGTCTTGTGGCAGAGAGGGGCTAAAAACAGTCAAAATTATTCCTTTTTAAAAATCAATCTGCAAGCTCCAAACCTGCTAGACATGGGACATGAGAAAACCAAGCCGCTTTCCTGGAAATGTAAGATAGTAATCAATTCACAACCTTACCCTCATCCCCATCCTCTCTTTGTGAAGTTATCAGTTTACAACCTCTGCTTGTCATGTATACCCTGGAGACAGTTTGTTCTTTGAAAAACTGGTTTTGCTAAATACAGCCTTGCAAATTCCAAAGAAAAATGTATAGCCTTACAACCCAACCCCCCTCCCTTACCTAAACTAACATATAAAACTCCTCTCCTCTTTCTCTGGGTTGCTCAGCCTTGGAGCATTAACCCACTGAGTTGGCTGGTGCTAATAAACTGCTACTTCCTAAGACAGCTTCAGTGTCATGGTCTCTCTGTTTTCCCGCAGCAGTCTCACCACTATCATTTTGAGACGTTACTAGAGTTATTTTCTCTTCCAGGTGCTCACAATACCCCACACACTGTGTTTGTGACAGAACCCCGCTGCCTGCACTGCAACCTTGACTCTGAGGGTTTCATCTCTGGCTCCTCTACTTATTACTTTTATGGAGTTAGTTTATTTTACGTTTTCCTCAATTGTGAAATGGAAAAATATCACTCACAGCAGAGATTTTGGAAAAGTCTAAATATAGTAATTTGTAAAACTTACTTTACTTCATATATGTAGGTAAGATTATCGCTCTCTTTTTCACACACACACACACACACACACACACACAAAACCTCTATAATTTTATATATACAGCCGGGCTTGGTGGCTCAGCCTGTAATCCCACGCCTTTGGAAGGCGGAGGTGAGTGGACTGCCTGAGCCCACGGGTACGAGACCCGCCTGGGCAGCGAGACCTCATCTCTACAGTAAATCAAAAAATCAGCCGGGTGTAGTAGCATGCAACTGTAGTTCCAGCTACTTGGAAGGCTGAGGCAGAAGGATCACCAGAGCCCAGCAGGTCGAGGCTGCGGTGGCTGGGAGTGGCCACTGCACTCCAGTCTGGACAACAGAGTGAGACTCCAACTCAAAAAAGAAAAATTACATATACATATATAGCACTTTTTGTTTGAAATTTTTAAAATAAATACAATAATATTGAAAACTTATCAAGATTTTAAGTAGGTGGCCTTTAGAGATCATGTGAAGTCATACAATAAAATATTTTCTCAAAGCTATTCATCTGCCAAAACACATAGCAGATATTTTAAAGTAATGATAATTACTAGCAATGTTTCATTTTGTTTAGTCACTATGGGCCTAACAAAAAGTTGCCTCGCTAATGAGAAACATCCCTGGAAAAATTTTACTATTTTGCTTTTCTAACGAAAGTCCATAGGTAGGTTGGAAGAGATGATGTCCATGTGTTGGTGTTGTAACATGCTGAATATTATATATGAAGACCAAGATTCAACACTAGGGGGCACTGAAATGCCAGGTCAAGAATGTATCATCTAGAACTCCAAATTTTGATGTTCATTTTCTTGTTTGCAATTTTTGGCATCTGATTGCTTGATTATTTATTTGTTTTAAGGCCTCAGAAATGAAATTCACTGGGTAACCACTGTCACTTGACAGTTGTCTCTGGTACTCACTCTTAGGGCACTGAAGAACATGTTTATTTGCAAGATCTGGCCATAATCTTCCTGTTTATCACTATATTTCCAATGATTAGGACAGAGTCAGCATTCCATGACTATTTGCTGAATGAATTAATTGTACAATGAGCCAGCCAAAGTTAAGCATTAGCTTGTTTAACGTAAGTTACCTGCTTGTCATTGCTCTTTTGTCTAGCGTTTCTCCTGTCTTCGTCCTCTTTCTTTTTTTTTTCAGCTGCTTCCCTTTCCCTGAAAGAAAAAATGGACAAAAACACTCCAACCAAAGTGAACAAATATTTCATCATTACTGGATATGACTTTAAGACAGTTGTCATTTTCTCAAACTGATAAGAAATTATTATTCTACTCTAAGACCCCCAGTTAAAACACCATTTTGAACAATACACACAGTTTTTCTTTGCACATAGCACACTTATTGCCATGTGTCTTGCCATCTGGACCTCGAACAGGATCACTCTCTCGAGTGCAGATAAGTTTTCCATTTTTCATTTGGCTTCTATACTCATCACAGATATCCTGAAAAGATGGAAAGATTAGATCGGAAGTGTTGTTTTCCCACAGTGTTTGACTGGATTTGAGAATCAGAATATTTAAGTCCAAGAGTTAGGCAGTCATGTAATTGCTGGAAGTTGCAAATACATTGCTTTACACAGCAAGGAGAAATTACGGTTGGAGTGTGGAACTAATTGTGAGTCTATTGAATATGAATGGGGATGTTATACTGGTTTATCTGAGTGGGGCCAAGATTCTTATCAGTGAAAGGGGGGTAAGCAGAAGAATCAGAGTCAGACTGACAGTGTGAGAAACACTTGACTGGCAACCACACACCAAGGAACACAGGTAACTTCTGGAAGTTAGAAAAGGCAAAGACAGGTCCTTTCCTAGAGCTCCCTCTCACAGGGATGCGGCATGACCCACACTTAGTTTTACCCCTGTCAGACCCACTTAGAACTTCTGGACTCCAGAAATACAAAATAGTAATTTGTGCTGTTGTGAGCCATTGTTTATAGTAATTTCTTATAGCAGCAATAAAAAACAAATACATTTGCAAAACTTCATTTTTCCTATTTATAAAATAAGGTTAAAAAACCATATTTGACCAAGCTGCTGAGAGAATTAAATAAACTATTATTTATTAAAAGTGCTTTTTAAAGTGTTTGACTGAAAGATTTCCAGTTGGCACTAGATTTTTACACTGAACAAGTTGACAGTGACACTCATGTCAATGATGGCTTCTGACCTTCGAAGGGCAAGACCTTGGTTGACCATATTAACTCCTCTTTTCATATCTTTGATAGCCAAATGTTGACTCATGGAAACAGCATTTTTGTCCAAATCTAGTTAACAACTTACCTTTTCTGGTGCTGATTCAGTCCCATTGGATCTGAAGCCAGAATGCCCATTTTTCCTCTCTGCTTCACTTTGCCTGGAAAAGAAAAGAGTCAATGGTCATCTCATTAATACTTACTGACATACAAAATGACAATAAGTGAGTGCCACAAGTAAGACTAGAAACCCACTCTTAAATTGTGCCAACTCTTCCAAATGATCATCACAAAGTTTTCCCGAGATTCAGGAACAGCAAAGAACAACAATTTATCATGACACTCAGAGGTCACAGAGCTATAGCATAAAATAAGATAGGTAGCCACTTATTTAGCTGTCCTCGTTAGGACTCATTATTCCTGAGAGAATGCAAAACAGAAAGGTAATATATATATATATATTTTTTGAGTTGGAGTCTTACTCTGTCACCCAGGCTGGAGTGCAGTGGCACACTCACGGCCACCCTAGCTTCGACCTGCTAGGCTCCGGCAATCCTTCCACTCCAGCTTTCCAAGGAGCTGGAACTATAGGTGTGTGCTACCATGCCCAGCTCATTTTTTATTTATTGTAGAGTTGAGGTCTCGCTAAGTTGCCTGGGCTGGTCTCAAACCCGCGGGCTCAGGAAATCCACTCACCTCAGCATCCCAAAGTGCTGGGATTATAGGCTGAACCACCAAGCCTAGCCAGTATTTGAAAATGAAAAAAAGAATAACTTCCCTGGAGGGAGACATAGCAAATTAGAAATTGCCACTGGTTCAGGAGGAATGTGACTATTTCAGTCATGTTGCTTGAGAGAAGTACTCACAGCATCTCTTTACACATGGTGCACTTATTATTGTAGGCCTTGCCATTGACATCATGCACAGGATCACTCTCACGGGTACAGGTGAGTTTTCCATTTTTCATTTTTTCCCGATACTCAGCACATTGGTCCTGCAAAGGGAAAAGAACACAAGCCTCCTGGGTTTCCTAGTCTATCGTATTGTCATGAAGTTTGTTAAACAAACTGAGTAAGAAAAGCTTGTTGTTGGTCTCATGTTACAAGAAATATAATATGTAGGGTTGCTATCCATGGAGACAAAAGGCTAGAACCATCCTTATCCTGGGAGGTCAGCTGTCATGGTTAATGCTGCTTTTACAAATCTACACAGGGGCAACCTTCTTTCGGATCCTCTCTCCCACTATGGGATCTTTTCTGTCTTCTTAATAAATATTACTTTCTAAAAAAAAAAACCACACAGGAAAATTATAAATATGGCTGGTATTTAATAGCATAGATTAAAGGTCAGCAAACTATAGTCGTCCCTTGGTATACCTGGGGGATTTGTTACAGGACCCCTGCTATACCAAAATCCATGCCTACTCAGGACCCGCAGTCGGTCTTACGCCACTATCCTGAAGGAAAAGCTGACCCTCTGTATACACCGGCTTCACATCCCATGAATTTTGTATTTTCTGAGTTCAGTTGAAAAAAAAAATTACATAGAAGTAGACTCACGCAGTTTAAATCCGTGCAGTTTAAGGGTCACCTGTTTAGCTCACAGCCAGGCCAAGCCTGTCTTGCTGCCTATTTTTACATGTGAGGTTTTACGGAAAAACATCCTCATTCATTTATTAAGATATTATTTAAGTCTTCTTTCCCACAACAATGGCAGAGTTGAATAGTGACAACAGACACCATATGACCCACAATGCCTAACATATTTACTATCTGGCCATTTACAGAAAAAATAAATGTTAATCCATAGCGTAGATAGAAGGGAGAGAAAAATGCTGAGGAAAAGCACAAAGCTATGCAAAATGTCAAGGAAGGTAGGCAAATGATGGAGAAGATAGACAAAACATCAATCAGACATGTCTCATAGATGAGTTCACCCCTTCAAAGTAAGAACTCTACCTCTGAAAGCAGAAAAGAAGCCGGGCTCGGTGGCTCAGCCTGTAATCCTGCACCTTTGGGAGGCTGAGGTGAGTGGATTGCCTGAGCCCTGAGGGTTCGAGACCTGCCTGGGCAGGTGAGACAATAAATCAAAAAATTAGTCCAGTCTGGGCGACAGAGTGAGACTCCAACTCAAAAAAAAAAAAAAGAAGGAAAGCAGAAAAGATGGAAAAAATTAGAAAGACCAGAGTAAATCAGAGGTAAATATTGAGCTTGTGTTTGACCTGGGAGCAAAGAGATGATCTTGACACTACAAGGTCATAAGAAGATAAATAAGGTGGCTGTCATTTTGTAGATTTGTGTTCACACACCCAAGGAGTGATCGTACCTGCAACACTGTCAGGATGACACTGAAAATGTCTCAAGAAACATGCTAAACACTTGCCTAAATTATTTTATTTTATCCCTATAAGACTAATGCTAACAAGAAAAACTAGAGTTCAGTGACATTATGTAATTTACTCAGTGTTTCACAAGTCCAGGTGGTAGGGGCAGGGTTTTAGGCTCAGCTACCTGGCCTCAAAACTTATGCTCTTTTGCTATATTATGCTTCCTTGGATTGATAGAAAATATATCTCAAAAAACGGTTCTGTCCAAGGCAAGAACAAATAAAGAAAGAAAATGAAGAGCACGTGATGTAGATCAGAATGATTATTGACATGAGGTCTGCATTACAACGAAGAGGGTTCAGGATATGGGATAAGGTCATCCTATTGCTTATTATTTTCAGGTTTAAAGGACTCAAAAGGAGCCCAAGAGAGATGAAAAATTGTTGATATGACCTTAAGGAAAACTCCTCTCTTCTTCCAAGGATGCTTTCAGACTCAGCACTACACACATTCACCATTGCCATAGGTTATAGGGGCGGTCACAGTCCTACAGTCAGTGAGTTGAGCCCATTCTGGTTACTGAAATCGAAGGATGCTCTCACCTGAATGTTCCCTCCTCCACCGCCACTGGAACCGCTTCCTGAAGCATTTCTCTGATCTTCCTCGTCTTTCTTCTTTCTTTCTTCATCTTCTTTCTGACTGGAAATTAGAAAGCAGGAGGCAGGGAATAATAGATTACAGAGAGTGGTGTGCATTTCTATGAGTTTCTCATTATATGACTGGGTCAGAGGTATGTAGAGGTCACCAGCATTTACTTAACATCTGCTATGCTGCAGGCCTTTTTCTCCAAAAATAAAAAGATGAATTATGTGGAGTCCTTTGCCTGGAAGAGCTCTCAGAACAGTAAAAGAAAACCACACCTAACGTCACCACAAATGAGACAAGGTGAGCCATTAACTAGAGCTGCACAAGTGTTCTCGGCAGAGCTCTTGTTGTGTTTATCATACATACATTCAAGAGGTCCAAAAATCGCTATTCTCTCAACCAGGCGTGTGTTTTTTTCTCCTGGGTTTTCTACTTTTCACGAAGAAGAGCAAGATGCCGGAAACTTCTCTGATCGCTCGCTCTTCTACAGCTAGCACAGTCATTGTGGCACAACAGATTTTGCTTTCACTGCATGTCCACCGCAGTCCAGGACCTTCCCTTGCACCTCACTTTGCCTCTCTCTGGGTCACGGTGGTCTCTCCCCCACCAGTAGCAGTTCTGAATTTTAGTACCTTCCTTCTCTTTTGCTTATTTTTATTGTTGACATACAACTCTTCCTAAAGGAAACCTATTTATGCCATTTACTCTCCTCCCTGAAAAAATTTTAGCAACTTTCCATTACATGCAGAATTCACCTCAAAATCTTCAGTCTGGCACTCCAGATTGGTAAAGTCAGTAAGTTCTAACTAAACCAAATGACTTGCTCTTTACTGTACATGCTATAATTTTCTTAGTTTTATGTTTTTACTTAAGCTGTTCCCTTCTTCTTCTCTCATTCCTTCCTTTCATGTCCACATCTTATCCAAATTATAACATCCAGGAACATCCAGGTCTATTCCCCCATGCCCATAAAACTTTCTATTTTTCTGCCAGGAAAGAAAAGTGGTTCCTGTTTCTCTCCTAGTACCATAAGATACTGTATACATAATTTTTCATTTACAAATTCCTTCTTTAAATTATATTCGTCTGTGCCATGTCTAATCCCTAGCAGATTATATGATTTCTGAGAAGGAGTGTCTGTTTCACTTACTTTTGTAAATTCATTATACACGTTGTACATTATAGATACCCAGGAATTGGCTGTTGAATGACTTAAATATTTTAGGTGTGCTTCCAACTTTTGTGTAAAGAGCTACTCTTCATTCCAGAAAAAGTGATATTTTAAAAAATGTACATGAGGAGTTTGGATGACAGTAAAATCTGTTTCCTTCCCAATGAAAGCTCCAGGATAATCTAGAGAGGGGATGTATTTGACAGCAAAGGACTTAGGATTGCATCAAGAAACATGCTGTGATGTACTGTAGGCTCTACTCTAGAACTAACAGATAATGTAAAAACTTAGTAATATATTGTGTATTTCTAGAACTGTGAATCTTGTTCATTATAAAGAAAGATTCACCTTAAATGGCTTACAATCACCTGTATCTTTCTTGTGTAAGGAAAGGACAAACACAATGTATATGTTATCTCACTGCTCACTGCTTGCCCAGCTCCGCCAACCCACAGCAGGGTGTTCTTTGTGTACTCACAAGACTGCCTTACACATGGCACACTTGTTGCCATGGGTCTTGCCATCCGGGCCACGCACAGGATCATTTTCTCGCGTGCAGAAAAGATTTCCATTTTGCAAAAGACTCCTAAATTCACTGCACGTATCCTAAAAGGAGAAAGACAGAAACTTGAATATTTTCTTGGAAATAGTTCATTGGGTTTCTTCTAAGTGGTTCCTGAAACAGAACATGATCTAAGGATTTTTTTTCTGGCAGTTATATCATTCAATTCCTATTAAGCATACAAGACTTAAAAAGAGGTCTGTATTTCTTTTTTCTTGAGAGTCAGCCTCAAAATCCAGAATGAACCTGCAATCACATACAAGACTCTCAGTAAACTGAGTTCTCTGAGGACTGGTCACAGTCCTTGCCCAGGGTTATACAATAACTTGAGAGATAATAAGCAAATCACTTAAAATCATAGGGGTAATTACTAGTGGCAACTACAATTGATTTTGTGAGTGTTTTTTCCTGAATCCTTTAGTTCAAGTTGAAATATAATAACAGACTAAATTTTCTTCTTAGCTGTGCTTCCAAGTTCACTGATAGCTCCCTAATGGGTTACATTTAGCAAAAGAAAAATTATACGAGGAAATAGTTTGTTTGTAGTCATGTAAAATAAGAAATTATCTCATATGGAATAACTTTTTCTTATAGATATTAAAAAGTGAATCTATTAGCCGGGCTCGGTGGCTCAGCCTTTAATCCCACACTTTGGGAGGCTGAGGTGAGTGGATTGCCTGAGCCCGCGGGTTCAAGATCCGCCTGGGCAATTTGGCGAGACCCCATCTCTACAATAAACCAAAAAATTAGCCGAGCATGGTAGCGCGCGCCTGTGGTTCCAGCTGCCTGGAAAGCTGAGGCAGAAGGATTGCCAGAGCCCAGCAGGTTGAGGCTGCGGTGGCTGGGAGCATGCCACTGCACTCTAGTCTGGGGGACAGAGTGAGACTCCAACTAAAAAAAAAAAAGTGAATCCATTTTTCACATGAACTACTACTATAATTTTTGATCCAGAATTATTGTGTGCAATGCAACTGAAAATAAGCCGACCATATAGCATCGCAAAGGGGTACTTCTTTAGGGATCATGTTTAGTATCAGCAGCCCTCAGTGAGAGCAGAAAAGTGGCCACAACCTGGAATAACACAACCTGGAATAACAGAATATATTTTTTTGAAGCCAAGAAAATATAATATTGCTTGGGGATGCAACTTTTTTATTTTTATTTTTTCCCAAATGCTGGTACCAGAAAATAATCAGAAGTAAAGCAAGAAACACCTGGTTTGACAAAATGTGGCAATCCCAAAGCCCATAAGAAGAACGCTGGTTGTACTATCAGGAAGTCTGGGTTTGAATTCTATTTTTTCCAGTTTTCAACCATAAGAATTTTAAAATATGAAGACACAGGTACTGAAATCAACACTCTCACTAACGTTCTTCCTGCTCTGGATTTTAAATCTTCGTTTTAAGAGATGAGAATAGTGTAATTCAGGGGTTCACACTGTGACTTGTGAGCAAAATCTGACCAACTCCTTTTTTTTATAAATGAAGTTACACTGGAACGCAGACATGCCCATTTGTTTGTATATACTCCGTGGCTGTTAGAGCCAAAACAGTTGACAGTCGAGTTTAGTGCTTGTGACAGAGACTGTATGACCTCAAAGCCAAAGATATCTACTTTCTGACTCGATAAAAATAAGTTTTTCAAGCCTTGGACTAAATGAAACCTGAGTTCCCTTGCAGCTCAGGCTGTCCATAATTCCACGAGATATTTTTACAGAGATACTGCAAAACCTCCTCCATTCATGGCATATGAACATTTCAGAACCACTACCTTCACAGTGTCTCTTTTAGCTTTTGGCCTGGATTCTGCCCCTTCTTTTTCTTTTGCTTCTTGCAGGCTATAAGAGAAGGGAAGAAAAACAATCATTCCTAGCACCCAAAATGTACTATCTTAAAGGGCTTGAGAGCAGAAAGGTAAATGCATGTTCCTTCATACCATTGCTCCTGTGTTGAATGCTGCTTACAGAAAAAGACATGCCATAGCAAACCAGTAAATAGATTTTCACCACTATTTTGGAAAATAAAGAGGTTGCCTTTCTTCCCAGAAAGCAACTAGAATATTGATTAGATGTCAACAAATTTTCAGTTTGTTAGCACCTAAAGATCACACCTCTGGATTATTTATGACAGTGACCTATGCAAGCAAAGAATAGAAGTCCTAGGACTCCCAGGTAGTCTGCACTTAGCATGTGATCATTTCTTGAAGGTGATTCAAGGACCTTTCAGATCACTGGAGAACACTAGAAAGAAATGTACTAAGTATATGGCTTTGTAGTTGTAAATTTCTAAACTCTACAAAGGCAGGCTCTATCATCTACCTTCTGGAGAAAACCTCCAGTGCCCTCCCTCACGCCCACCCAGTTTCATCGTCCCCGCTTTGTGACAGCAGTGGCTGCAGCTCACTCACAAGAAGGCCTCACACATGGAGCAGGTGTTGCCGTGAATTTTCCCATCTAGACCCTCGATGGGATCATTCTCTCTGGTGCAGGGGAGTCGTCCATTCCTCACATACTGACGGTATTCACTGCACAGCTCCTGCCAAATGAAGGAGGATTTCAGAATCAGATAATCACATACTGGAAACCTTCCTCACATTACCCTTTTGAAAAATTAAACATGACAGATGCATAGAAGGTTGCTATTAGCCAAGATGCTTTTCAGAGGCCTAGGTCATACATTATTTGAAACATAAGATTGCTGTAACTTATCTCATTTGAAAAACCTTCATTTCAAATATGATTCTGCACTAGGTACTGCGAGAGATGGAGGGAAGAATGATGATACCTTAAATTGGTAAAGGAATTTGTGGCATGCAGAATACACTGTCCCCCACCACCCCAGTATGTTTAAGGCCTAATACTTGGGACCTGAAAATGTGTTACCTTACATGGCAAAGGAGGCTTTGCAGATGTGATTAAGTCAATGACCTTGAGATGAGGAGATTATTTTGCATTGCCCTAAAGGGCTCAATGTAATCCCAAGTGTCAGTCCTTAAAACTGGAAGGGTGAGGCTGAAGAGAGAGTGAGAGGGAAATGTGACAATGAAAGAGCAGTCAGAGAGATGCAATATTGCTGGTTCTGGAGATGAAGGAAGGAGTCCAAGAGCCGAGGAATGTGGATGGCCTCTAGTGCTAGAAAAAGCAGACACAGATTCTCCCCTGGGGAATCCACAAAAGAACCCTTTGATTTTTAGTCCAGTGAGAGCCTTGTCAGACTTCTAACCTATGGAACTGTAAGAGAAGTTTATATTGTTTTAAGCTACCAAGATGTAATAACTTGTTATAGCAGCCATAGAAAACTAATACAGTTTTTAATTTATTTGGAAAAACTACATAGAAGCAATGATAAATTAGAAACAAATAAATGATATAACCAAAAAATAAAATTTCCAGCAAAATAGATGATAGAATTATTAAGCATATTGTACAAAAGGGGAAAATCTATAGGGAGCAGCTAATACTTTCACTTTTGGCCAATATTCTGATAGACAGAGGGAAGGGACACTTTATGTGCAAAATTGTATAGAAGGTAAAGTTCATTGTATGTTGAGTAACTGGTGAATTATTCAGTGTGACACATCCCATCAGACAATGAGAGCAGACAAATAATAATATTAACAGTAATAAATATAATATTACATATTGAGTACTTAAGATATGTGAGAGACTGTGCTGTTATACATGGATAAGTTTCTTGGGACTTTATAAAAATAATGTACATAATAGTAATATTCTTATTTTATACACAAGGAAACTAAGACACAAAGATAAAATTACTGGCACAGGGAGATGGACCAAGGATCTAAACCCTGACAGTATGAGTCCAGAGTTCAGAATGCTATTGAGTCCACAAGATGGGAAGCCATGAATCAATGCTTGGCAAGTCAAAGAAGCAACAAGGCACCTAGTCTAACTGGCACAAGAGGAAAGGTATATATAATAACAGGAAGTGAGAGCTGAGATGTGGTAGGAGTCAGGTTGTGTTTGGCATCATAAGCTACTGCCAAGACCTTGGGTCTTACTCTGATGAGATAAGAAGCCACTGGGTAGCTTGTCCTACCTTATGTTTTTAAATAATTACTTTGGAGTCGGGCTCGGTGGCTCAGCCTGTAATCCCGCGCCTTTGGGAGGCTGAGGTGAGTGGATTGCCTGAGCCCGCGGGTTCGAGACCCACCTGGGCAGGAGACCTCATTTCTACAATAAATCAAAAAATCAGCCGGGTGTGGTAGCACATGCCTGTAATTTCGGCTACTTGGAAGGCTAAAGTGGAAGGATCGCCGGAGCCCAGCAGGTCGAGGCTACGGTGGCCGGGAGCGGCCACTGCACTCCAGTCTGGGCGACAGAGTGAGACTCTAACTCAAAAAAAAAAAAAAAAATTACTTTGGTTTAAGAGTTGAGAGTAAATGGCAGAGCAAAGGTAAGAGCAGAAAGAGCAGCAGAAATGAAATCTTCCTGGAGACACAGTCTGCAGGAATATTACAAATGGCAGAAATGTGCAAAGTGTAAAGTACATCATAGGCCTTAAAATCAGAACTTGTGTTTCAATTGCTAGCTTTCAAATTATTAAATATAATTGTGCTTATGTGTATTACTTATATCATACATATAATAATATGCTATATTATTAATACATACTTATATATCACTTAAATTTATTTATTTACTTCTTATCTGAACCTCCAAGTCCTCTTCTATAAAATACAGATAATAATACATACCTTGAATGGTTACTACAAAGATCAGTCTTAAAATCTTTATACCATGAGGCATACAGTCATAAATCTTTATACCATGAGGCATATAGTCATAATTAAATAATTAATAGCCATTGTCATCACCATCATCATTATCATCATGAGAGATTTTAAAGAATGCAAACCCAAGGCTCAGAGATGCTCTTAACTAATTTCCGCAAAATTTCACAGAGAATTAATTAGGGAAAACCTAGTTATTGTTGTTGTTGTTCTTTAAGCACTCATTCAAAAAGGTATCTGAGAAAAAGCTGAACATCTGCCTCTGTTAGTTTGCATTCAGACAATAAGACAACAATCTGCATACACTTCTTCTTGGGTCATATAATTCACATGGTCAGTGACTGACCTCCTCTCTAATGCATGAACAACTAGTAGATTTAGTGTGAACAACTTGAATAAGAAAGGATTCCTCTTGTACATGAGGATCCAAACACATTCCCTCAGTTGGCAGTCACTAATGATTCTGGGAAAAGGAGGACCGAATGCGAGCCTTGTCTAGGGGGAATGATCATTGAACATTTACATGGCTCTGATGATCTGAAACAACTACCTGTACTGCTTCTCTCTTAACTTTCTCAGCCTCAACTGTCTTTTTTTCTTCTTTTTTCCTTTTCTTCTCTTCTTCTTCTAGTTTGCTGCAATTAAAAAAAGAGAGATAAGCTGAATACAATTCCCCATTCTCTTTGGTAGTATGCTTTAAGAAGGAATGAGGATCTTCCAAACATTCAGTCTTCAGTACAAATACATCCAGTCCGAGAGGTGCTATTGTTTTGGCCAATAACACAGAGACATATAGTTGTTTACATCCCTCCTCTAAAAAAGAAGAAGAAAACAACTATGCATTTTTATTACTATGCAGCCCTCAAGTATTCTTATTTTCTGCCAGTCATGGCTCTAATCAGTGTTCCAAAACATGACACAATTGTCTTGATTTTTTATTTTATTTTATTTTATTTTTGTTGGAGTCTCACTCGGTCGCCCAGACTGGAGTGCAGAGGCCGCTCCCGGCCACCGCAGCCTCGCCTGCTGGGCTCCGGCGATCCTTTCGCCTCAGCCATCCGAGTAGCCGGAATTACAGGCATGCGCTACCACACCCGGCTGATTTTTTTTGATTTATTGTAGAGATGAGGTCTCGCTGCCCAGGCGGGTCTCGAACCTGCAGGCTCAGGCAATCCACTCACCTCAGCCTCCCAAAGGTGCGGGATTACAGACTGAGCCACTGAGCCCGGCTTGTCTTGATTTTTTAAACTGTGAAACTTTTTCCTATCCAAATAACTACCATATCAGTGATGAAACCAAAGAGGGGTACCAAGTCAGATGATGGGCCCATAATCATAATAAACTGTGTGTCAGTATAAATAAAAATCATTAAGTATTTTTAAATGGAATTAATATTCAAGTGGAAATTTGAGATTGAGGCTGTAGTTGTGATTCAAGTCCAATAAAATTCTTTGAGGGTGATCACAAGTCCAATATTCTGGTAGTTTTTACTGACATGTCACATATTAAAGGCTGGGAAATCCTTAGCATTTACTACCTGTAGTCATTACCACAATGCTAGCAAGTTGAACAGGTGAGAGGAAAACTCTGATTTCTTGAGCTTCAGCCACTGTTTATTCTACTGGCCTACTCTGTCAGTCTCTCCTTTTAAAAAACTATGTGCGTTTCTTTAAGGTTGGACTAAGACATGTGAAAGCTAAGAGGCAAGAACTTTGCACCTCTTTAAACAGATTTTATTTAAATTTTTTTCTCAACATTTATTTCAGAGTAAAGCTCAGGAAGGATTAAAAGACTAAGAAGGAGAATAATTAGAGGTGGCAATAATCATCTTCCCCTATGCTGCCCACACAACAGAGCCCTGGTCACAGGTTTCCACCACTGCTCAGCAAAACAAAGGCTTATAATAAGTCTCTAAACCAGGCTCACCAAGGAGACATTTTAGTAAACATCTATTACATGAGACTGTTTCTTAAAGGTTTCCCTTCTATACTAAGCCTCTTACCAAGTAAGAAAAGTATGCATTTCACCTCTACACAGCAATGTCCCTGAAAGGATAAATGCAATCCTCTTTATTCCATTTCTTGTTCCAGTTATTAAAACAGTCCTTACATACTGACCCCACAGACCTCCATCCTACTTGTTTTCCTGAACTCGTGTCTGAACATGCTCACAGAACAGTAAAATGTCAAGGGTGGGAGAGAGATAAAAGAGATCATCCAATACAGATCATGCGACTTCTATTCTTTCTTTATTGTGAGTAAAGATGATCAAGTGTTAAAGGCATATTCTTACTAAATTCAGTCTTTCTCCTTGATTTAATTATAAGACAGAAGGATCACTGACTAGAGAATGGCACTGTTACTATAGGATTTAATGTCACTTAATGTTTTGCCCATCTGCTTTTTTTCTTTTTTTTTTTTTGCATTTTTCTAGTGCTATATGCTCTCACACATAAAGAATCTGAGAATTGGGCAATCTGTGATGAAGAAATTCAGTGGGAGAGACGGAATGAACACTCACAACACACTGGCACACATGGCACACTTGTTTCCGTGCATTTTGCCATCGGGGCCACGGACAGGATCATTCTCCCTGGTGCAGATGAGCATTCCATTCCTCACTTGATCCTGAAATTCACTGCAGATTTCCTGGAAAATGAGAAAATATTTTTTACCTTCCCTGAATCTTTTCCTATTTTGAAGAATATGTGAGGAATCAGTAACGTTGAGTAAAAAGTTAAAAAGAAAAGTGATAACGTGGCAGCAACTCAGTATTTACAAAGCTTCCATCATGAACTCAGAACTGTCCTGGCACTATGGCAGAAATATTTTTCATCATCGTTCTCCTGGGGGTGCTTAAAGCCAAGGTTCAGAAGAAAGCACAGAAAATTGGTAGAGACCAATAGAAAACATGTGTTTCTGCTGTGTTGCAAAGCACAGTCTAAAAGCTGTGAACGATCAGAGGGGGAGGAATTCAGCAGGCGGGCCCAGAACAGATGTCTTCCTTGGGGAATGGGGAACATTACTGAGCCGGGGTTTGTCCTTCGAGACTGAGAAAAAAGAAAAAAAAAAGCATGCTTACACTAAAAAATAAAGGATACAGCCAATAAATGGATAGAACTTTACAGGTAGAAAAGAGAACAAGTCTGATCCCTGGAGAAGCTGACATCTTCTTGGGAGTGAACAAATAGAGCCTCAGGAAAGGGATGTTGACCTGAAGCCCGGCATGAAGAAGAGGAGGAATGTGTTGGGTTCTTGACACACATCTAGAGGCCTTGACAGCAGTTCAAATATGAAACAAACTTTAGATTATAAATTACCAGTGAAAAAGTTGTTTTCAAACACAGTTACCAAAAACAAATGAGTCAGTTTAAAGGTAAACTTTTAAACTATGTCAGCTCTTCCTCAGATCATGATTAGGCTTACACTATTGCAGCTATTGCTAAAAAATATGATAAATAAGTATAAATCTTACAAATAGCTATTATATCAGAGTACACCAACATCTCTCCCCAGGTAAATTTTGCTCTGCTACCTGTGAAATTATACAATTATAAAAGCAGGGAGGATAGATTAAAAATAACTGGAAATCAGAGGTCCTGCTGAGTAATGTCAACTGGGGGCAAGAAAACTAACACTTCCTCCACAACCAAGTGGTGGCAAAAATCAAAGAAGATAACTTATGTGCATTTGTTTTGCAAATTGGAGTGATTGGGATTTTTTATTTTCTTTGTGAAATTATAGACATAGGGATGATGTAAATTGGAATTAGTAAACTACACAAGTTAATATTAATAAACAGTGCTTTACAACAGAAATCTAACAAAAGACAAATTTGGAGGAAATCCCTTACAAAAAACTAGCACTCCAGTTTTTTTTAAATCAACCTCAAAATTTGAATAATCATGAAATACTTCTAATCAAGATCCCCTTTTTTAGGTTAGAAGTGTTCTTCATTCATTTCAGGCATAGAAATTAAGCTAGAAACATTTATTCTAATAAGATAACTAGAATGCTATTGTAAAGAAAAAAAATGTCAGGGCATAGCACCAGCATTCCAGAGAAAGTTACCTTTGCAGCTTCTCTTTTAGCCTTTGCTCTTGCCTTTTCTTCTTGTTGACTATAAGAAAAAGACAAAAGCAGAAGAAATGAACCTTAACATCACAGAGTAATTCCTTAACATCAGTGAATTGATCATTCATTGCTTTGATCCAACCTTAGTAGTTTGTGATTTTATTAGATAGTAAACAAGAATGGTTCATCTGACCTCAGGAAAATGGAACTTCTTTTCTTTTTTGAGTATGAGTCTTTATCTGTTGCCCAGGTTGGAGTGCACCGTCATGATCACTGCTCACTACAGCCTCAATTCCTGGGCGCAAGTGATCCTCCTGTCACAACCTCCTGAGTAGCTAAGACTACAGGTGTATGCCATCACACCAAGTAATTATTTTTATTTTTATTTATTTTTTATTTTTTGCCTAGGCTAGTCTTGAACTCCTGGGCTCAAATGATCCTCCCACCTCAGCCTCCCAAAATGCTGGGATCACAGGCATTAGTTACTGCACCTAGCTTCAGAAAACCCTTTGATTAAGGAGTGAACCAATTTAACGCCCCCAGCATATGTACCTCAATAATACTTATGTGTGGATTTTTTTTGTATCTACGATTACTCTTTTTTTGTTTATGTTATTTATTTTTATTTAGAGATAGGGTCTTGCTCTGTTGCTATAATACAGTGGCACAGTCATAGCTCACTGTAGCTTCAAACTCCTGGTCTCAAGCAATCCTCCTACATCAGCCTCCCAAAGAGCTGGGATTACAGGTGTGAGCCACCACACCTGACACCTATGATTACCTTTTATAAAATGGTAATCGTTGGCTCCTGTGAGGTATATAGCCTCTTGGTTAAAAGGAAAGATTTGAAGTCAAATTGCAAAAGAAAAAAAGGAAATGCCTTAATCTCTGTGCATCCCTCACCTCTAAAGGGTGGGGGTGGAGAAATAGGAAAGGTAATAATAGTACTTTTTTCACAGGAATGCTAGGAGTATTAAATAAGATGGTCCATGTAAAGCAGCTAGAAAAGCCATAAAATGATTGGTATAACTAATATAAGGTACTGATACTCCTCTGTCATCATTGAAGTAAATCTTCCAAAAATAGGCATATGATGGAAATGAAGTGAGAGGGGTTGCTCTTACATTGCGCATAACTAGCAGTGTTACAACTTGAGTTTAGTGGATTGGATCTATAGCATAGTTGGATATATAACACAAATAAACCAATCATGTTGTATAGATGAAAAAAAAATCACATTAATTTGCAAAAATGTTTTAATGTGTTCCAGACCACATAAGACTTACTCATTGGTCAAATTAAAACGTTTTACAAAGTTGAAAAGACTGTTCTCACATGCTACGAAAGTGTGCAAAAAAATGACTATGAATAGTTCTCAAGAAATTTAATACCCTTTGTTAATATAGCCGTAAAATATGAGTTGATAAAAGTTTTTTGCTTTTTGGTAAGAAATTTCTTATGTCTTTGGAAGAAACTTACTAAAATAGATTAAAAATTGTGGAGTTTTCATATTTCTCTAATGGAAACTGACCTAAACTTTACCATGAGTCTAAGTTGACTAAAACATTTTCAAAACATTTTCTTTCCTGAATGGGAAATTGTCAGAGGAGGCAGCAAAGTGAACCACTAGGTGGATAATTACTTGCTTGTAAATGAGAGATTAATGTAGAGGAAAATAAAAACAGGTGGAAACAAGCCTAAATATAGGCAAATATATCTACCAGAAGTTAGTAAAGGCCTTGCTAAATGATGACATCCTGCCTATACCCTACAGCAAAAAAAAAAAAAAAAAAATATATATATATATATACATATATATATAAAATTTTCTTCATCTATACATCACATATCCTGTGCTGATTTTTCCATCATTCTCAATTTTTCTGGGTATTAACGTTTTTCAAGTGTCACTTCTGACAATGCAGAACCTATTTCATATGGTGGCTGTGAAGATTAAATGAGATTAGGTAGCAAAGCTCTTAGCAAGTACTAGACAATTATATGCATTCAATAAATGTTTGTTATGATAATTATATGGTTGAAACTGCCTATATAAAATTAATTAAAGGTCACAAAGTTAGAATTGTGATAGGGGCCTAGATAAATCATAAGATGTTTGCTATACTTGTTTTCTACTTTCTTGACCTTTTCTCCCTCCATGCATATCTCAGTCCCAGAGCTGCCTGCCAGATTATGAGACTTGTTTTTCTCTTGATATACATGGGCTCTAGGTCATGCCAATCTCCTTGATGGCATTCAGAAGCTTAATCTGCCAAAAGACATGAGTAGCTTTGATCACTTCTGAATCACACTCCTGCATCCTTTGTTCACAAGATTTGTAACTTCCCCAATTACTCCTATAGACGACATAAACCTAAAACTGGTGTTTGGGATGTTTCCAGACTCTGCATTCTGGTGGAACACCTGACACTAACCAGACCAGCGATCCATGAACGCTACCCATAAACTGACTTGGTACACAAAGACAATGTTGATACCTCTATGATTTCACGGCCAACCAGTCAACAGTCTAATTTCCCTGGCCCCTTGCCTGTCAAATTACCATTTAAAAATCCTGGCCCCTGATTTCTTGAGGAGGTGGATTTGAGAAATATTCCCTGTCCTCCTCACTCAGCTGTTTTTTAAATTATTACATTATTTCTCTACTGTAACAGTTGCTGTCTTAGTCTTGGTTTTTATGGGCAGCAGACACAAGAACCTGGTTAGGCTGTAATATGGTCACCATCTTAACTTTACATATTTTTAGTGCTCCATGGCTGTTTGGAGCCGGCCGTGGAGGCCTGCCTGAGTGTTAGGGATCCAGGCAGGCTGCGGACCCTGAGACCGCTAGGACGAGTTCAGGAGCTGAAGGCCCATTCGCTCTTCCCTTCTTTGCTGTTTTAGCACGTTCCACTAGCAGGGACTTTGATGATCTAAGCATGAAGTTCTGAGAGTATGACAGGCATGGCTTATTTTAGGAGTCTATTGTTCCCGTTTTTCACAGACCGGTTTCGGCTTTAAACTTAACATAATTCAAACTCAGGTCACATTTGGGAGCCTTTAATACGGTACAAGCTTCCTTTAAGATTTAATAGTATATTTATAGAATTAGTATATACATACAAAGTGCTGTCTCAACCTTAATAATATCGATAAATATCTAGAGCTACCAGAGATGGCCCAGCACAAACTTTGGGCTGGGCCACATTAAGAGATTGTAATCACTTGTTCCCAGAAATGGCCCAGCGTGATCTTTTGACTGAGCCACATTCCTTAGGAATTGGTTTGGG